ACAATCATAGGCTGATAAAAAAAAAAAGGATGAGAAAATCGATCTAGAGGAAGGAGTATAGTATCGTACCTTGTAACTCAAGAGAGAAGAATATTCACGTTCAAGAAAACTTCACCAATTTGATGAGATTTTCACAAGGGCTTTTTCTTTATAATTTTGGTAAAAAAGTCTCAAAGAATTCTCAACTTTAAAAAGTCTCAAAAAATCTTCCTAACTTGAATAATGGGTAACTTATTAAGACTCTTGAAAAGTTTCAATTGAATACATGTAAACTTTATGAGAGTCTCAAAAAATTTCAATTGAATACCCCTAAATTTCAAAAGTCTTAAAAAGTCTTTGAAAGTCCTAAGTGAATACACCCTCCTAAATCTAGATGTCACAGTAGCATTATTGTTTTACATAAATTGCCATCACTTCGCCTCTCTCTGTTAAATCTAGATGTCTCAGTAGTAGGGGTGAATATGGGTCGGTATGGTTCTGAAAAGGCTTTTTCTTTATAATTTTGGTAAAAAAGTCTCAAAGAATTCTCAACTTTAAAAAGTCTCAAAAAAATCTTCCTAACTTGAATAATGGGTAACTTATTGAGACTCTTGAAAAGTTTCAATTGAATACATGTAAACTTTATGAGAGTCTCAAAAAGTTTCAATTGAATACCCCTAAATTTCAAAAGTCTTAAAAAGTCTTTAAAAGTCCTAATTGAATACATCCTCCTAAATCTAGATGTCTCAGTAGCATTATTGTTTTACATAAATTGCCTTCACTTTGCCTCTCTCTGTTAAATCTAGATGTCTCAGTAGTAGGAGTGAACATGGGTTGGTACGGTTCTGAGATTGACAAATCTCCGGAACCGTACCGATATTCGGAGATCACTAAAATTCGATCTCCAGAACCGTACCAAAAAATCGGTTCGGTTCGGTATTCGGGACTATCAGAGTGGTTCGGTTCGGTTCGGATAGTCGGAGATTTCTAATTATTTTTAAAAATTTTTTGAATGACCACCTAGTTATATTTTATTTTTTATATATATATATATATATATATATANNNNCCAACATTCATCAACATTGAAATCATCATACTAAAGATTATATTTTTTAATCAACTTTATAAATAACTGTAAATTTTAGTTAAGACTAAATTCGTGCAATTAACATTGAAAGTTAAAATTCAAACAAAATATAATATAGTTTTTTTATTAGAATAATATTTATTTAACCTTACATACCATGTTAGTTATAAGATAGAATAAGACTAAGTATTGACAAATTTAAGTAAAGTTTAAATATTTTTTTTAAAAAATATTTCTTTAACCTTTCATTCCATTTTAAAAGAGAAAAAATTCAATTGCATATCAAGTATTACTAAGCATGAAATTTAAGTGAAACTTAATTGTTATTACTATATTTTATTCGCATTTTAAAAATTCCTAAATTATATAGAATTAAAGTTGTAATAAAATATATTAATAACACACATTTATTTTTATAATCCGGTTCTTACTTTCGGTTCTTCGGTTCGTTACGGTAAGAGACGGTTCGGTTCGGTTCTCGGTACGAATATTTGTGAATTCTCCAGAACCGTACCAATTATTTTTTCGGTTCGATTCGGTTCAGAGAAAGTCAAATGTTCAACGATTATTTTTCGATTCGGAGAGATTTCGATTCAGTTTTCGGAACTGTTCAAAATTCTCCGAGTCTCATGCTTAGCCCTACTATGCATTATTCTTTTAAATAAATTGCCATCACTTTGCCTCTCTCCGTTAAAATATCGCTGAACCACTGGTTACTCCCTTCCTAAACCAAACTTGCCCTAAACGGAAAAAGTTCCCCAGAACTGGGCTTTTGAAGATAGTAACCATTACAAGAAGAGGTGGATTTTGATTGCAGCTGGTGGAACGAGTGCCGGTGAGGATGGCTAGGGTTCCTTTGGGTTGCGAACCGGTGGTCGGTACCCTAACGCCGTCCCGGAAGCGGGAGTACAGGGTTACCAACAGGCTCCAGGAAGGCAAACGCCCCATCTACGCCGTCGTTTTCAATTTCATCGACTCTCGTTATTTCAACGCCTTTGCCACGGCCGGTGGGAATCGCGTAACCACTCTTACTCCTTGAAAACTGTTTTTGACTTGTAATATCCGATTCCTGGCATAGATAGCACATATTGATACTTTTGGTATGTTTCAGGTGACGGTGTACCAGTGCCTGGAAGGTGGTATTATAGCCGTATTACAGTCCTACATGGATGAAGATGTAAGATAGTTTATCCTATTTTATTGAGCTGGAATTTTCAGTAGTGAATTGTATTCTCTAACAGCATCTGGACAATCCATTCATTGTGTAGATCAGAAGGATGAATCATTCTACACTGTTAGTTGGGCTTGTAATGTTGACGGGTCTCCCTTTTTGGTGGCTGGAGGACTTAATGGAATTATTCGTGTTATTGATACTGCCAATGAGAAGATCTTCAAGGTACTTTTATCTGAAAGCTGATATCAAGCTTCCATAATACTTTGTAGAGTATCATAGAGAATCCCAAGATAATGAAAGTAGGATGAAATTTATGATGAAACACTTTGGGCTGGATACCATTATTTTTTATATGATTGTTTATTGTTTCCCCATGTCCTTGTCTTTTCTGAATATAAATGTTGCCTTTTTCTTCCTTTTCTCCTCAATTTCTCCAATTGAGGAGAAATTGGTTCAACATCGGCTGAGGTGGTTCGGACATGTCTAACGGAGGCCTCCTGATGCACCGGTGCATAGGGGAGTTCTTCAGCGGGTCGAGGATGTTAAGAGAGGTAGAAGTCGGCTTAAACTCACTTGGGAAGAGTCGGTTAAGAGAGACCTTAAAGATTAGAAAATCTCCAAGGATTTAGCGGTGGATAAGAGCGCTTGGAGGCTCGCTATCAACGTGCCAGAACCGTGACTTTTGCTCCTTTCTTTCTCTCTCTCATTTTTTTTTTTTTTCGATCTCTTCCTTTCGGTTCGAGTCTTTTTGTGTTTCTCTTGGGTTTCATCTCTAGCCTACCCCGACTTACTTGGGAGTTTTTCCTGAAGTAACTCCAACTTTACCAAATGTTTAAGTTATGTTTTGATATTTCCTAAGTATTGCAGAGTTTTGTTGGTCATGGGGATTCGATTAATGAAATCCGGACTCAGCCACTGAAACCATCACTTGTAGTGTCTGCAAGCAAGGTAGGTGCTTCATGATCTTTTTTTTCTTTAATAGTTATAGAGGGATTGGTGGGAAGGGTGTACTGCCTCTAGGAGGAGTATCAATGATTATGCAGTATTTACTCGAATGAACCTTAATGAAAATTTTTTGGGTCAGGATGAATCTGTACGTCTGTGGAATGTTCATACAGGAATATGCATTTTGATATTTGCTGGTGCTGGTGGCCATCGCAATGAAGTTCTTAGTGTGGTATGCAAACTGCCGTATAACTAGAACGCACCCTCATTTTATTCTTATTTTTTTATCCTGTGGGAAGAAGATGATTTTAAGTTGTTTTGTAATAGGAGGGCTTCTTTGTTGATATGACATTTGAACCATTCTCTTTTCAAAATTTATGCTGTCATAGGACTTCCATCCATCTGACATTTATCGCATTGCGAGCTGTGGAATGGATAACACTGTCAAGATCTGGTCGATGAAAGGTAAACTGGTTTTGCTTTATGTTATTTTATGCGAGCTGTTGGAACGGATAACACGTTCTCTCCCGATCATTAATTTCTTGATTAATATTCCGAGTGAGCTACATTTGAATAGTTATTTTGNTCATTCTCTATTGTAAAATGCACTTTCTTTTATGAATTCATGTCTTTAATATTACAAATATTTTCTGAAGGATTCTATTAGTAAACAAAATAGAGTATTTGTTTATTGCAATGCTAACAATTTCTAATTATGTTTACTGGTTTTGGATAATTTTATTTATCATTATGATTTGCTAAATTAGTTATACTTTCTTATTTTATATTATGTATATTATATATAAAAAAACATGAGAATTAGCTCTCAACTATACCTACCCCATTAATAGCTTCCAGCTATCAGCAATAAGCTCTGTCCTTTCAATCTGCTCAATAAAATAGACTGTTTTATCTAGCTCCGTATTAAATCCATATGCAGTTGGCGTTTGTTGTATTCACAATTTGGTATTATATCAACAAAATCCCTTTGAAGTGTATACAAGTCAAACCATTACCCTGCTTGTGAATAAGATTAGCCCCTCCCCATTGATTGATTGATGTTGCTTGGTATGAACGGGATGTATTGCAGAGTTTTGGACATATGTAGAGAAATCATTTACTTGGACGGATCTTCCTTCCAAGTTCCCTACGAAATATGTGCAGTTCCCAGTTAGTATTTTTGTACCTTTTTCTCCCTATTTCTCCATTTCATTACATTGCCGGGGTACCTATAACTTCTGTGGTGGAAACTGTTGTTATTCATATTTTTCCAGATATTTATTGCATCAGTGCATACGAATTATGTTGACTGCAACCGGTGGATTGGTGATTTTATACTCTCTAAGGTTAGATAAACCTTTCTCCAAGATGATTAATTAGAGAACCTCTCATCCTTCAAAGTAGGTATTTCTCACTCATTGATGGGTAAACTTAAGGGGGAGAAAATTTTATTTTTTTGATTATCTTGACACTTGACTATAGATCATAGTGTGTACCTTTTTCCATTGAGTGCTGACAATTTGATTGTACTGCAGAGTGTTGATAGTGAACTTGTATTATGGGAACCAAAAATGAAAGAACAATCTCCAGGAGAGGTTAGAAATTTTAATGGAATTCAGCAGTATTAAATTAAAATATCTTAGACATATGATTATTGTTTGGTTTGAATAGTCCAATATCTAAATGGCATAGCTGATAAACAGCCTTATAATTATGTGTAGGGTACTGTTGACATTCTTCAAAAATATCCTGTTCCTGAATGTGATATTTGGTTTATCAAGTTTTCCTGTGATTTTCACTACAATGCAGTAGCAGTAGGTAAGTCCCACCATTACAAAGTGTTATATCTACATTTTTAAAGTTACAGTTGATATACAATCTCATTCTGGTTGACTTTGATTTTGTGTAGGGAATAGAGAAGGGAAAGTATTTGTGTGGGAAGTGCAATCTAATCCCCCAGTTCTCATTGCTAGGTCAGTCTCTTTCCCTGTTCTCTTGCAATGTGTTCTGTACAGGCCTTTTTAGTTGCTCCTTTCTTTTTTTTTTCCCCAGATAGTTAAGAGTTAATTTTGAAACAAAGTTATTTTTCATTACTTACATTTGTTGGGTTTATTGAGTTAAAAGTGCATTATCAGATTATCCCATGTTCAGTCAAAGTCTCCTATTAGATTGACGGCCGTGTCCTTTGATGGAAGGTACAACTCTGGAGCATCTCTCCTCTACATTTTATGTATGTGTATATATGTATGTATGCGTATATGTGACATTCGAGCATATGTGCATTGTTGTCTGTATGCCAACAGCACTATTTTATGCTGCTGTGAAGATGGGACGATATGGCGTTGGGATGTGGTGGCAAGTACTTGAACTTCTCCGATGTTATGGCTATAAGTGGGATTTCATGGTATTTTGTGCTAGAAATGTAGAACTTGTACTCGTCATCTTACTGTCTGAATCGTGCCTGGTGGTATGGCAAAAATCGTATGATGGCTGATAAGATGCTGTAGCTGAAAGGCTGTACTTTCCCTCTTTGTTTTGCTAGAAATATCGATTTGAATTCATCATAATTCGTGGACAAAAAGGTGATTCGAGACAATTGATCTGTTGCAATGTTTATTACGTAGGTAAAAATAAATCCTTAGAGAAGAGAGCGAAGAGAAAAAATAAAAAAATAAAAAAATACCTGCAACAACAATGATGATGATGATGACGACAAATGATAAAAGTTAGAAAAATAAGAGTTTAGAATTTCAGTTGTAATGACAATTGGGTTGTTCTACGGTTAGAATTATTTCTTTAGGTTAGTACATTTCTAACATCAGGTATGCTTGAAATGAATGGCAAGTCCTTAATGCTTTGTATAATACTAAAATTTCGTATGCTTGAAATGAATGGCAAGTCCTTAATGCTTTGTATAATACTAAAATTTCCTAATTGTCGGAAATATTACAACTTTACACGTTTTGACAATTATATGCACCACTTTTAAATTTAGTAAATATATACACCACCTTGGACTATTGTTGGCAATTTGAATCATGGGGCTTAATTTCAGGTTTTATCTGTTGACATGACAATTTTTTGCTGACATGGCGTTTCTGCTGATATGGCGTTTTTATTTAAATGGCGCTATAATTCTAACTTGAGATTTCAAGGTTACATGAAGGCATTGTAACCACCACACCAATCTAAGTTATATGTTAAATTTAATATATAGAACCTACGTATGAATAAATTAAATTAAATTTAAAAGATAATGTAAATTATATTAATAAGATATAAACTTATAATAATTGAAATATAATAAAATAAATTATATAATATTAAATGAAAAATATAAAATAAAATATTGTAAGATAAAATTTATTATAGTAGAGTGCATTTAAATTATATAAATTTGTATATTTCTTATTTATTAAAATAATAAATTTGAAAATGAAAATTAATAATCAAAAAATGAAATTAAAAAATAAAATAGATTAAAGTACACCAGTTAAAATAAAATAAAAATAATATAATATAAGATAATAAATTATAAAAAATAGTAAAGTAAAATTATAAATCAAATAACTTATTATGAAATAATTAATACATATAATTAAAAATATTTAATGAATATAATAAAATAAAAAAATATTATTTGATTATATTAATTTTGAATGTAATAATTTAATAAATTATTTATTATAATAATCTCAAATTATCTTTTAATTTATTTATTCATTTGATATATTATTTAATAATTTTTTTTAATTATATTCATTAAAGATTTCTATTTATTTTAATTTATTATTTCATAATAAGTTATTTTATTTATTATTTTATTTATTTTATTTTACTTTTCCATTTTTATACTTTATTATCATTTAGTTTGTCTTTTTCAATTATTATTATATAATTTATTTTTTATATTTGAGTTATTATACGTTTATACCTTATTAATATAATTTAATATAATTTACATTATCTTTTAAATTTAATTTGATTTATTCATACGTAGTGTCTATATATATTAAGCACTATTAAATTTAACAACTTGGATAAGCGTGGTGGTTACAATGTCATTATGCAACCTTGAGTTTCCAAGTTTGAACCCCCATGCCGTTTAATCTTTTTATCGCCATGTCAGTAGCTATGTCAACATAAAATCACCATGTCAGTAGACAAAGTCCGAAATTAGGCCCCGTGATTCCAATTGCCAACAATAGTCAAAGGTGGTGTATATATTTGCCAAATTTAAATATGGTGCATATAGGTGCCAAAACGTGTAAGATTGTTATATTGCAATTAGGCATACTTAAAAAATTTGTAATGAGTTTATATAAAAGATATTTAAGTATTTCATTCTTAACATTGATCCTTGAACATAATTACATATCTCAATTAAACCACCAAATATTCTTAAATTGCAAAGGAATTTAGCTAACATTCAAATGCAAAAACATCTTCGATCTCAATTTTT